CTGAGTTGAGATCGACTCGAGGGTAGTTAACAACACAAACACCAGCTTATTATGAAAGTTTATTTGCTGTGGCATGTGACTCCCATAGCTGGAGGGAAACACACACTTTCCTTACCATCTTGTTTGACCCAGACAATGTACAGGAAATCCTAAGTTATGTCACTTAAGATATATATATATATATATATATATATATAGCAGCCTAAAAAGGACACTAATAAATCCTCCATTCTTTGAGAATACAAAAAAAAAATTTCCTGGCAGATGGAGAGAACAGAGTGATGCTAATTATTCTGTCCTGAATCCAGAAACATTATGCATGGGCACTGGTAGTAGGCCATGTGTTAGCCCTCAAAAACCAGAGTCTCATAGAGAACAATATGTAATGGCACACAATTACATATCACAATTATATTCAGTAACTGTTATGTGCTTTTGCCTGAATCCAGCAACTGCTGTCAGCAGATTAATATGTCAGATCCATATCTTCTCATTTCCTTTTTGGATCAAAAAGGAACAGTATCTAAAGGAACCTATATTTATTCCTAAGTGATTATGGTATTTGTGAGTTAAAGTTTATCTAAGAGTCCACTTGAGATATGATGGCAAACAACTGCATGCAACACAGGCAAGGCAATAGATGGAAATAATACAAGCTGCAGCTGTTGTCTTCAAGACCATATATAGGCTGAGGTAACGGAAATAGAAACCAAGCATCTGAACTATGCCCAAACCACTCCTGTCTGGCAGAAGAAGGAAGGTGAAGAAAGGCACAAATGATTATCTTGGGAATACATTACACTGCTATCCTGGTTTTACATTAATTAAACATCAACATCAATAACAAGTTGTTAATTGAATCACAGTTTGATATTCATGGTGTAAAGCTTTCACTATAGAAATATTTCTTTCTTTTTTTCCTTTGAGTCATGCCATACACAGGACTCTGTGAGTCAGAGGATATGAAATTCTGTAATGAAGCTTTTCAAAGGCTGTGATTATAAGAATGCATTTCATTAATGGAAGCATAAATATTTCATTTTCTAATTTAGCATCACTAGGTAAGGATAAGGCATGAGCATTTCTATATAAACAGGTCTCAGAAATGAACTCCACATTTCACCAGGTATATAATAATAATAATAATAATAATAATAATAATAATAATAATAATAATAATTGATACCCCGCCCCTCTGTTAAAACAATCAGGGCGGCTTACAACAGTTAAAAATACATTAAATTACAAGCTAAAACCCCAAAACCCACCCTCAACATTAAAAAAGTATTAAATTAAACATCAATAAAATCTACAAAAATCTTAAAAATCACATAATATATTTAAACCAAACAGCAAACAAGCCAAGAACTCAAAGAAGATGAGAGGCACAGCTCCTGAGGCCAGGATCTAATCAGGAAAGGCCTGCCAAAAGAAATCCGTCTTTACTGCCTTTTTAAAACAACTCAGGCCGTAATATAATGGATCTCATCCGGCAGGCCATTCCATAATCTGGGGGTGATTACCGAAAATGCCTTCTGGGAGGTTGTGGACAGCCTAGATTTCTGTGGCTGAAGCAGATTCCTCCCAGAGGACCGGAGTGCACGAGAAGGATTATATGGGAGGAGGTGATTCCGAAGATATAGTCCATGTGATTAATTTTTAATGAATCATAAGAGTTTAAGGATGTTAAAAATGTTTTAATGTAACTACCTCACGAGTTCAATAGAAAGAAATATTAAACATGTTTTGAATATACAAGTAAGAAAGGTAAGCTATAGCATTCTATCCATGTCACTTCCTGAGTGCTTCTATTATGGCCTTATTCCTTTAAAGTTTTCTCCCATGCTCTTTATTTATTTAAAAACACTTTATTTGTGATCAAATTACATTTTTCACATGAGTTCTTTTTCCCCATTTATACTTTCTGCCACACTTTAAATTGTGTCTGTTACTGTCACCTCACACTCCTACCTAGCTATCTCTCTCTTGTCCTTTAAATCAATTAATTTAAAGAACTGGGGGAATCTTATTCGATGGCCATGCTGTCTGGAAAATTCTTGGAATAGTAGTCCAAAAAATAACTCTGCCAATCTGTGCAACAGATAGATCTAAATGTGTCTATACTAGTTCTTCTAGAAGGCTTTATTTTGCTCCACATTTGTCCTATGCTATTCTAAACCTTCACCCATTTCTTAAAATGTGTCTCATCCAACTAGAACTGCTCAAAGATTTTTTTTTCTTGTTGCTTTTTAAAGACAATACTAATTTTTTGCAATTGTAAGCATGGGCTTAAACACATTCAAATACATGTTTATATAGTGTCCTGAAAGCAGGAGGTTTTAAACAGGACCATGAAGAAGCCAGGTTCTTAGTGTGTTAAGTAGCCAGGGATGCAGTTTTGTTCAGAACTTAAATCTAGCTAAGTATGTAGGTGAACAACGCATACATTCACATTAATATAAATTTATCCACACAATTTTTAAAGACAGAGAGTGGAGAAAGAGAAGTAAGATGATGACTGAAAGTGAGACAATATGAGACTTTCATCTGGAGTTCAACTGCATTTTGAATAAAGTTCTGGATAGAATTTGATATATGATACAGAAGGTTTCACAGAAGTTAGGCTGCTTGTGGCATTAATAGGGAAGAGAGATATAGCAAAAGTAGTCAAAGGATATAATACAAAGTCTGACTGAATCATGTCATTAAGAGTTCTGGGAAACCCATCAATATAACCATAATCCAAATCTATGCACCAACAACAAAGGCAAAAGAAGAAGAATCTGAAAGTTTCTGTATTAGAGTCCAAGAAGAAACTGGTCACACACCACAACAGGACTTCTTGTTAATCATAGGCAATTCGAATGCAAAAGTAAGAAGCAGAGCAGAGTCAAAAATAGTAGAAAAATCTGGCCAAGGATCAAGAAATGAAGCAGGAGAGTGACAGATGGATTTCTATTAGGCCAACAGTCTATTAATCACAAATACATTCTTCAAGCAATACATGGACATCACCTGATGGCCAATGTAGAAATCAAATAGATTACATAATTGGAAGGAGAAGATGGGAAAGCTCCATTCCTGCTGTTAAAATGAGACCAGGACCACGTTGTGGCACAGACCATAAACTATTAATATCAAACATTAGAATAAGGCTAAAGAAGAAGACCAATTCAACCATCTTGGCAAAATACCACAAGAAGAACATCCCTGCAGAATTTAAATATAATGTGAAAAATAGATTTGTACTTCTAAGCTTCATTGACTGGGAACCAGATCAGCTATAGACAGAAGGCAGGATAATGTCAAGGAGGAATACAGGGCATCACTAAGGGGTGGGGGGAGTGCAGTCCACACCAGATGATACCCTAAAGAGGTGGGGGTGACACCATTGTTCCGTAAGTTCCCATAAGTAGAGGCTAACTTGATCTTAAAACCACTATAATTTTTCTTGTGTGCCTTCAAGTCATTTTCAACTTATGGCAACCCTAAGGTAATATTGGGAATATTTGTTTGCAGAGGAGTTTGCTTTTGCCTTCCACTGCAGCTGAGAGAGTGTGACTAGCCTAAGGTTACCCAGTGGATTTGCATGGCTGAGCAGAGATTCAAACCCTGGTCTCCAGAGTTGTAGTCCAATGCTCAAACCACTATACCACACTGGCTCTCATTTCTATCTAACTTCATGTAGCACAAAAGGAATGAATGCAGAATCACAAAGGAATCAGTTCCTGGATAGCATTCCATTTAGCCAGTAAAGTAATGTAGTTAACAGAAAGTCAGTTCTGAATTTTTTTATGATGGTCAGCATCAGTGCAACCACTCAGTGATACTGAGTCACTGTTCAGGGCCAGTTTTATCTTCCCTTCTCAATAATCACATTCTGGAAAAGCAAGATTAAGGATCATAGAAATAAGCAAGAGTATGCTCAAACTGGAGAAAAAGAATAGTTTCCAAGAACTGTTTTTAAGGAGAGGAAAGACTTAAAGACTGGCAGACAGGTCACTATGAATTTTGTATAGTTGCATGTATTTTTTTTATAAAATTGTAAAAACAAAGAATACAGTTAAGAGGAGGAGGAGGAGGAGGAGGAGGAGGAGGAATGTCAATAATATCACCAACTAAATAATGATACAGGTTAAGTTTCCCTTATCCAAAATACTTGGGACCAGAAATGTTTTAGATTTCAGATTTTATCAGACTTTGGAATATCTGCATATATAAAATGAGATAACTTGAAGATGGGACCCAAGTATAAACATCAAATTCATTTATGTTTCACATACACTATCTAAACATAGCCTGAAGGTAATTTTATACACAGTATTTTTTAATAATTTTTACATGAAAAAAATGTGCATATTGAACCATCAGAAAGCAAAAGTGTCACTATCTCAGCCACCAATGTGGACAATTTTGGATTTTAGAATATTTTGTATTTTGGAATTCTGGATAGGGGATAGTCAATCTGTATCATTAGTAATATTGTCAAATAATGCAGTTAACATAAATTGGAAACTACCATGAAGACAATGAAACATTATAAAATTGATATATCAAAGAAAAGGGAAACTATATAAAATCCTATTAAGCAAATGCAGACAGATGTAAACTAGGACACTTCTGATTAGTACTCCCTTAGGGAGCTCAACTACACTAGAGTCCTAGTGCTTTTGATCCCTGTTGCCTGATAATTTCAAGGAAGGTTTCCAGTCCACACCCCACTCTAGGGGGTGGTCTCTTTTCATGGAGGGACATGGAAATTGTTATTAACTGCCCTCAAGTCTGCTTTGACTAATGGTAACCCCATGAATCAGACATCAATCTCCAACCCCCCTGCTTCAACTACTCTGCTCAGGTCCTGCAGGCTTAGGGCCATGGCCTCCTTGATTAAGTCTATCCATTTGGTATGCAGTCTTCCTCTCTTTCTACTGTCTTCCACCTTTCCTAGCATTATTGTCTTTTCTAGTGAGGCATGTCTTTTCATGTTGTGGCCAAAGTACAACAGCCTCAGTTTGGTCATCTTGGCTTCCAGGGAAAACTCAGGCTTGATCTGTTCAAGGACCCATTTGTTTGTCTTTTTAGTTGTCCATGGTATCCTCAGCATTTGTCTCCAGTACCACATTCAAATGAGCTTATTTTCTTCCTAGGAGCTTATTTTCTTCCTAGCAGCTTACTTCACTGTCCAGCTCTCACATCCATAGATGGTGTTACGAATACTGGACATCTTCCAATTTTGATGTGTGCATGCTCCCTTTATGACCCTGGAAGGACCTATAGCTGTGAGACACCATGAAGCCAAAAGCAACCCACTCAAGTAGACATCAGATCAATCAGAAAATTTGGGAGCTACAATAGGGAAGGAATTCACACTTTTTGAGGCAGGAAGGCTAGGTAATTTACAGCTAGGATGTTTGTCTGGAGAGTAGACATTTACAAACCATTCTCATCCCAGATACCTTCCATCCTGAGTGATCTTTACCATGTAAATTTTGCTTCTTTGATATAGTGTAATAAGCCCAAATATGTCTCATTAAAGTTGAAGACATGTACACAATTATCTTTATGAATGTTTTCTTTCTGGCAGTCACCTCAGGTTTTGTCCTACACTCAACAAGCAAAGTGGATGTCTGAAAATATACTTTGACTATCTGTCAACACATAATCATAACTTCTGCTACATTGCAAAGAACAGGTTGGAAGACTATAATCTGAAACTGAATCCAGACAAGACAGAGATGTTTACTCTCAAAACTCCTAATCTAGGGCTAGAGGCGTGTCAGCCAGTTCTGGATGGAGTTGCACTCCTCCCGAAGGATTGTGTTCGCAATTTGGGGGTGCTCCTGGATCCATCTCTCCAAATGGCAACTCAGATAGATGAAAAGGTCAGGAGTGTTTGTGTAATCAGCTTCGGCTGATTTACCAACTTTGCCCCTTCCTAGAACTGGAGGACCTAAAGGTGGTAGTGCACGTGCTGGTAACCTCAAGGCTGGATTTCTGCAAAGCAATCTACATTGGACTACCTTTGTACCAAGTCAGGATACTCCGACTGGTTCAGAATATGGCAGCCAGATTGTTTACAGGTACATCCAGGAGTGATCACATCATACTGATCGTAAAAGCACTCCACTGGCTGCCAATTAGTTTCCAGGAAAAGTACAATGTGTTAGTTATTACCTTTAAAGCCCTACATGATTTGGGTTCAGGTTCTCTACAGGATTGCGTTCTCATGTACATTCCACCTGTCAGAACTAAACTGACAACAGTTTCCCAGAGGACCTTTTTATCTACTGCCCCCAGACTGTGGAATGACCTACCAGAGGAGATACAACAGCTGAAAATGCTGACTGCATTTAAAACAGCATTAAAGACATATCTTTTCCATGAAGCCTACCCAGTCAATTTTAAATCATGACTTTTGAATGTATATACGCACTCTTTTGAGTGTATTTTAATGGTTTTATAGTATTGTATTTTAACTGTAGGCTTATATATTTTAACTGTGTTTGTATTTTAACATGCTGTACCATATTATAACAAGAAGAAATTATTATTATTATTATTATTATTATTATTATTATTATTATTATTATTATTAAAATCCTTCATGATTATTTTAACAGTTTCTCTTTTATCACTACACTGTATTTCTTTCCAATTGATTGGAAAAACCATCTTTAAAACTCAGCATTCACAGGTCACAAAAGCCATCATATCTGGGATAGTTAACCCTGTAATTCCCTCATATCTGGGTATATAAACAGCATATATCACTTCATGTTGCAAGGTAATATAAACAAGGGCCCCAAGCCCACCTGTTCACAGAATGAAAGAATGGGAAGGAATCTCAAAAATCCTCTAAACTAAACTGCTCTCATTATAGGAAAATCTGCTTCTCTGTCATCCCCACAAATGGTTATTCAGCCATTGCACAAAAACCTCTGAAGAAACTCCACCAACATATGAGGCAATCTGTTCCACCATTAAAAAAAAAAACAACCCAACTTTTACTGTCTAGAAGTTCTTCCAAATAATATCATCTTTCTAGTAATTTGAAGATTATAAAACCTTTTCCTTTTGCCCTACCTTACTTTGTTCCATTGTCCATATGACAGCCCTTCAAAACATCTAAAGATGATCATTTTGCTATTTCTTGCCTCTTGTCTTATCTTGTCTTTATATGACCTCATTGCTTATATTAATTTATTTATTTTATTTACATGCTCCCTTTCTCCCAAAGTAGGACCCAAGACAACTCACAGATTAAATTCTTTAAAAATGTACCAATACAATTTTAATAACAATTAAAATCATTTCAATGAAACAGTATAAAATTACAGTTTTTCAAAAATACTAAAGTTGAAAACATAAATAAACACAGCACTCACCCCAATAAGAAGCCTACCTGAGCGTGATTACATATAAAAAGCCTGATTAAAAAAAAAACATATTTGCCTGCTGGCAAAAGAAAAGCAAGTGGCCAACCTAGTCTCCGATGGAAGGGCATTCCAGAGAGTGGGAGCAGCTACTGAGAAGGCTCTCCCTTAAGTCCACACCAAGCGAGTCTGTGATAGTGGTGAGTGCTAAGCCTCTACTGTATTTCAGCCTCATCTCCAGACATATAGCAATTTGCCAATATCCTGCTTAAATTGCAGTGCCTAGAGCAAGATGCAATACTCTAGAACAGGGGTAGGCAACCTTTCCCCTTTAAGGGCCGAGGGACTTCAGCTCCCAGAATCCCAGGAGCTATTGGCCAGCATGGGACTATTGGCCAACATGGCTGAGGCTTCTGGGAGCTTCTGGGAGCTGGCCCTTAAAGGGGAAAGGTTGCCTACCCCTGCTCTAGAATAAGACATATTACTCCAGCAGGAATCTAATCCAGGGGTAGGCAACCTTTCCCCTTTAAGGGCCAAGGGACTTCAGCTTCCAGAAGCCTCAGCCATGTTGACCAATAGTCCCATGTTGGCCAATAGCTCCTGGGATTCTGGGAGATGAAGTCCCTCGGCCCTTAAAGGGGAAAGGTTGCCTACCCCTGATCTAATCAAAGCAAAATAGAATGCTACCATGACTTCACTTGATCTGAACACTATATTTCTGTTAATGCAACCTAGAACAGCATTGGCCATTTTAGTTTACTACATCACACAGTTACTACATCATACACTACATCACTCACGTTTAGCTTATCACCTCCTAAAATCCCTAGATATTATTTACATCTGATGTTATCAAGATGCATGTCTGTCCTATATTTCTGCACTTGAATTTTATTCTACCTAAATGTAGCACTTCGCATCTATCTCTGTGAAGATTTTGGTCCTGTTCTCCATCCTGTCAGTGTGAGTGTGAATCCTGTGCCTGCTTTCTAAGAGATTAGTCATCCTTCATAGATTAGTGCTATTTCCAAGCTTGATCAACGTCTTTTCTCCTTCATCCAAATCATTTATAAAGGTGTTGAAGAGCTGTGGGCCCTGAACAGAAGCCTGCAGCTTGCCACTCAGCTCTTCTCCCCAGGTTGATCAGAAGCCACTGATGAGCACTCTTTGAGTAGAGTCTCTGAAGTAGCTAGAAATCCACCTAACTGTGGAGAAGCTGCACTATATATGATTAGCTTGGCACATAATAAACAGCTACAACACAAAGCAATTAGAATCAGCCTTTTGGT